TTATTTCAAATTAACCCATTCTTTAAAAGATTTAAAAAACTTGGGAGATCGTATGAAATATAAGTATAGAAAGTAAAATTCATGTTTATTTTAGGTTTTTTACAAACATAAAATAATTAGTTAATTTAATAATTAATAATAATACCCCTTTTATCATCGTCAAATTATCCTTTTTTTTAAATTTCGAAATGACTTTTTCTTTAAACGATTAAAGAAACTTAGAAAATGGTATGAAATATACGCATACAAAGAAAAATATATGTATATTTGCGAATGTTTTAAAACATAAAATAATTGAGCTCTAAGACTATATAAAAATTAGTAACCATTAAAATTTAAAGTTACATTATATAGACTATAAAAATAAAAGATTTCTTATTTTAATTTGAGATATAATTATATAAAGCTAAATATAAAAAGAAGTGATTCTATTAATTCGAGATTTTTTAAATTTTAAAATAACTGGTTTATATTTAAAAAAATCCCGAATTAATTGAAAAATCATTTGTTTTTATGTTCAATTTTAAACTTCTAACTTTGCTTGTAGTTAATTTTCTTGGGGTATTTTAAATACAAACCAATTCTATGATTTTGAAAAATTCTCAGATTAAAAGAAGAGAATATACAGGAAGAGAAAATAAAGAGCGTTTATTTTAATATTTAATTGTATATAATTATTAATTCTAATTTCCATTAATTTTTATACGGTCTTCTAAGAGTCTAATTAATTTATGTCTAAGAAAAAATATCAAATATACAGGAAGTTTTCCAGGAACTTTCTATGCTTATATTTCATTCCATCTCCTAAGTTTTTCCTTTCATCCGGACCTCACTAAAGACAGAGAACACTCATAAAAGGACAAATCTCGTCTCCAAGGGCATCAGAATATCGAACCGAGACGTCAACAAGAACAACGGCACCCTGTGAGACGACTGAAGAAGACCAAGGGATTTTTTGCCTGCTTGACTTTATTTTGATCGTTATTAAACTAATAAGGACGCAAGTGGGTCAAACTTAGATTGAACTAGTTTCGTTTAAGCAATACAAAATGGACGGGAAAGTTTGACATAACAATTAATCGACTTTAAATATTTTGATCGGCTCGATCTTTCCTTCGACGGTCTTTATATCACGAAGTTCACATTAGTTTTCCCTAGTGGTACACGACAATTAATAACTCGAAGCGAAATAAAGAAAATCATTACAGACCGGGGCGAATAAAACGTTGGGAAATCTTCCAAATCGAACCGGGTTGCCTGTCTGGCGCCTTGCAAAACATCCCGCTTCACAATACAAATCTATTCATGAATCATTGAATGATCCTTGAGCCAAACAAACCGATTTTTCTTTCTTTTTTTTACCGATGACGCTAAATAAAATATTAAACTGGAACGAACTTGACCTTAAACACAACTTTGTTCGTTGCTGGGAAGGAATTAACACTTATCTGTACAAAATATAAATCATGAATTTTCGAATAAAGTTATGCTTTTCATAACTTACAGCCGACCACAGTATGGATTTCTTAAGCTTATGGGTTAAAGTAAACCGAAAATAACAAATAAAACGTTTGATAGGTTGTTGTTGTTTTCATCCTTATTTTTCTCACTTTTAATGACATAAAATCTAAACATTGTTGACACAGCATGAAAAGAGGGAAACTGCGCTTTACAACTCTTGTAATAGCATTGAATTTTGGTGAGATTCAGGGGAATTATGGATTTTTTAAGTGGAACCACAGGACACAGGAGAAAACAATGGCCCTCGTGAAACCCAAAACTGTGTTTGATTCCTACGAAAATTGGTTAAAAAAATAATAAAATAGTTAAAACGAACCCGAATTGTTTCGTAATTTAAAAAAATGTATTTTCCCTACTTTGTTTAAGGTTATGCTTGCAGCTAGCCATAGTATGGGTATCTTGGGTATTGAAATACTTAATTTGTGACCGAGCGACTTAGCAAAGTAGGTTAAAATATCATTTTAGCAAGGAACAAATTTGATATTCGTTTTTTTCCAGCCTAAAAAACCCTGAATACAAATTTTTGGTAAAATCAAAAAATAGTTTTTTTACAGATTTTCAGACTTCCTAGGCCTTCGATTTTTTTTCTCCAAAAAACATTAAAAAATATAGCTTTGAAACGGATCCAAAGATCAAAATGACACTTTATAGCAACTTAGATTATTGTTAAAAAAACTTATTAAAATCAAACCTAATCTCCGATAATAAATTACAACCGAAGATATAAAACTTGGCAAGGCTCAATCGCATTTGAGAGATTTTTATCGATTTCATCATTATATTTCTCACTGACAATTTTGATAAAATCTAAAAATTATTGATACAGCATAAAAGAATTGCTATATCTTTTTCTACGCTTGTAAGAAAGTTAAATTTGGAAAAAAACCAACAGGAGTTATAATTTTTGTAAAGGTAACACCGGATGCCAGAGAAAAACCCCGAATATGTTTATTTTTTATTTGCTATGAAAATGCGTAAATAAGGGCTTTAAAATATACTTAAAATTAACTCAAATTGGTTTATTAATTTTTTTACCCATTTTCCTTCCAGTTATGCTTGCAGGTATTGAAATACTTAATTTGTGACCGATTGACTTAGGAATGTAGGTTAAAATATCATTTTAGCAAGGAACAAATTTAATATTCTTTTTGTCCCCCCCCCCCAATACAATTTTCAGTAAAATCAAAACATAATTTTTTCACAGATTTTCAGTCTTCCTAAGCCTTTGATTTTTTACAAAAAAACTTTTAAAAAATTTCTTTGAACTTGAAGCTTACAACTTTGAAACGAATCCAATGATACATATGACACTTTAAAGCAACTTAGAACATTATAAACGGTGCTTAATATCGCAAACCTAATCTCCGATAATAAATTACAACCGAAAGTAAAAATAAAACGTTTGAAGGGTTTTTATCGATTTCAACCCTAATTTTCCTATCTTATTTTACATGTAATGGCATAAAATCTAAACCTTCTTTAGATTAGAGTCTAAAAGGAGAGAGGTTCCGCTGTCCAACTCTTGTAATAACATAGAATTTGCATAAAATCCAGAGGGGGTTATGAATTTTTAAGTGGAACACCGAGCATCAAAGATGAAAATTGCCCCTAGATCCAGCTGAAAAATGTCTATTTTTTTGTTTTTAATGAAAATTAAAATTTTAGATTTTTACAGGGTGATTAATACGAATCCGATTTTTTTCCAAAAAAAATTAATTTTATGGCTTAGTTTACTGAGAGCGTCATATCGTTTTTGAAACTTTTTATGCATCGATTCTTATCTAAAACTGCGTATTATTTCCTTGTACTTGATTTAAAAAGTAAATAAATCGGATAGTATATAATACAAGCAAAACCAATGGCAGAAAAATTTGTTTTGAAAAACTAAGTAAATTACGCAAAATTTATTGTTTCTCGGCTCCTGGGGGGCCAATTGGCATGAACTCTCGTATACGTGTCTAATCTTTTTCGTCCTAGTATCACAAAAAAAAGTTCCAGTAAAATCGACCAACTTTTCTAGTTTTCTTGCTAGTTTAACTAGGGACATTGATGAATGGGTTTAATTGTTTAAAAAAAACCTGGGCAGGATTGACAAATTTCTTGACAATTTCTATGAAACTGCAGTTTTCCCATTCCTTTGAAAAAAAAAAATTTTCTACAAATTTTACATCAGATTACAAAAACGAATTCCAAAGCCGGAAAAACAGGATAATTCAAGACAGAGAGTGTCCGTTGTCGATCGTGGTACATCTCCGCCCCTTCGAGCATAAGACGAAAAACGCGCACTCGTCGAAGAATGGTGATCCACTCGGCTCTGATCCATTTTTAGACGCATCACGAAACTCCGAACCGTCTGGAATTGCAGATGACTCACGGCCGTTCAATATCCAACTCCGCCTTTACACAGTCGCCTACCATACTTGTCAATAAAATTAATTAAACAAACCATGCACGATGTTTATTTGCCTTAGATGAAACATTTATGAACCGTAGCGTTATCGTTTCATTGCAATTTCAAATTCATCCCTTTTAGTACCAATTGGATATTTCCTTTTTTTTAAATAAACAATAGAAAATTTTATTTTTGGATCAGCAGGGAGGGGGAAGAATTTTTATTTTATTTTTTTTAATGAAGAAATATACTAATCTTTGGTATTTCTTTTTGTCTAGAAACAAACGGTTCACGCATGGTTCAATGGTCTGTGCTTCGTATGGCAAATTTACCATATGGTGAACCAGAAATGCGCCGCAACTCGAGCATTGAACGTAATTAAACGCAAGAGAAAGAACCATTACCATAGAGGAAAAATACCAGGTTTATTTTTTCTATATCTCGCCTGGGGAAAAATGACCGATTCGCTTCAGAACTATCTTCATCATCAGAACAAACAAATTGTCGAAGGAAGGTCAAAGAATGATATCCTCCCTCAGCATCAATCCACCCTCTCCACACTCAAAAATTTCTTTATTTTGAATTTTCCTTTTTCTTACAGATAGCGTTTATTTTTATTTTTTTTTAAATACCGAAGCGAACTTGCATAAAGTAGTTTAGAAAATTGATAAGCCGTAAAAAAATGTTATTCCTTATCAGTGAAAGAGTCTTTGGCCATCAACATTTACAAGATGAGTACAAGAAAGAAAATTTGTTTATTCACAGTATGAAAATATATGAGAGTTGGAGACAGACGTAATTTATCGACTGGGTCAAAATTAATCGGATCCTGAAACATATGGAAGACCCTTTGGGATGGGGTGAAGGTGTGGACGTACCCGAAGAATCGGATGACAGAAGATCGATGATATACAGAAGGAGGTATGGTTTTTCGACCGAACCCTTTTTCCGAGACGTCATACCGGAAATAGAATTTTCAACCGGTTAGGACTGTTATCGATCGTTGCCACACCCGGGACACCGGCCGGACGCTCGTCGGCGAAGACGTCCCCGGACTGGACGCAAACCGCAAACATATTGTACATACCAAGCTTTGACTCTGATGAGGAGTTCGCCCTGGGCGGGAGTCGGTTCGGGCTTCTTCTGCACCCGGACGAATTTGAGACCACCGAAGGCGGTGAGGACGACGGCCCTCATCTCCTTCTCGCCATCGGCCATCGCCTCCGTCGGTGTTTCCTGTTCCTGGGACATGTTCTTCCTTCCGCTTCTTCCTTTCGAATGTAACAGGTGGAGGTCCTGACGATCCCCACCACAGTGTGCAGCCCCCACTTTTCTTCTCTGCCGCCCCCGCCTTCAATCCATTTAATAAAAAGCGCCAATTTTATTACCATTTTATTAAGTGACGTCTTAACTGCGGAGGTCTTTACTCTTTTATCCATCGGACAAGTTATATTTTGTTTTCTTACGTTTCCTAGCTCCTCATGTTTCCTTCAATCCCACGCTAATCCAGATCAAAACTTTTCAGACAGTTTTGTGCAAACAGATCCTCTCCCATCTCACTCCCTGCAAAATTCTCAGGAGGCAATTAACAAGATTCTAAAATGTAAATCATAACGATGCTGTTTTTTTTTGTGTGCACAATATGTTATATTTTCTCATCAATTTAGATCGTTTAATTTATTTATGTCTAAAAATGGGACAAAATGCGGGTCTGGAATTGTCAAACTCGTACGTCAGTGTGACTTGCTCACTTTATGACTTACGAGTCAGCCCAATTACCCAAGTTTATCTTTACACAAATAAAGACTTGAGAGAGAAGTTTTAGCTTTTTCGTTTTCTTTAGACGTCCTTCTTTATGCTAACTTAGTTTTCCTGCAATTAATTCAGTTTGGGAGAGAAGTTTAAGCTTTTTCGTTTTGTTTTGACGTCTTTCTTTACAGTAACTTAGTTAACATGTAATTAATTCAGTTTTACGTTTTTTCAGAAGATTTCATGCATAAAACCTGCCTTTTTATAATATGGCTTAAAAAAATATTTTTTTAAAACTTTTCCGACAGTTATATTTTCTCAGCAATTTAGATAATTCAATGTATTTATATTTAAAAATGCGTCAAAATAAAGGATTAGGGAGAGAACCCTGTACTGTAAATTATAGATCTTGAATCGTCGAATTGGCACATCAGTGTGACCTACTCACGTTTGTTGTTATGAGTCAGTTCAAATACGCAATTATGCTGCGCTTATCTGTACGCTAACAGTCGTGGGAGAAAAATTCTCAAAAATGTTTTTCTTTTCGTTTTGACATTCGTCTTCTTTATTCTGCCATTATTTGTAAATTAGCATGGCTTTTGTCCTTTTTTACGTGGTGTCCTGTAAATAAATTCTGGCTGTTATCATCTGATAACTCATAGAAATCGGTATGTATACGACTACATCTAGTCTTACACGCCGAACTTCAATCTCTTCGATTCTTGTAGTCTTTCTAGACGTTTCCCTTCAAAGGTCTGAGGCTGCCGGTTCCTATGTCCGTTTCCGGAATTACACTGGATGGTCGTGCAACCATATACCCCTGAAGGCCCAACCCTCACGTCACCAGGCGTTAGCCACGGCTGCAGCTGTGCCCAGGATGGACCAGGGTCGCACCTTACAAATATCTTACGTGCTAATGAGGGGAGTTCTAGACGTCTCCCAGGTGTCCGATCACATCTGACACCAGGGTCAACTAATACAACTTAAATCCTTCCTATTTAGTTCGTACTATCGCTACCTAAAACCCTGATCGTTTCTTCCGTCTTACCTACCGCACAAAAACCTCTTCGAGTCTATTTTATCTGGTATTTTGAAAGGGAGCATTCTAGGGATAGGGATAGGGGAAAAGAGGTGGCCTTCTGCACCTTGATCTAAGTAAATCTACTGCTATTTTTATAGCTAACCGGTCAGCTTCATATTTTTAATCAACCTCCATATCCTTGCCAGTAGCTAAGGAGCTCCTTACTGTAGAGTCTGGCTTGTGGCTTTTCCTCTCCTATTTGCATGGATCTGCGCCTACATAGATCGTCACAAAAATACAAAACGTGTTCCGCGGTCTCTTCTTCTTCCTGGCAATATCTGCGCCACATTTCTTCTGTCTGTATTTCTATCCGGTGCATGTGCCTACTAAGGTGGCAATGCCCTGTCAGGAGTCCAGCCAGAATCATGGTTCTGTTACGGTTCCCCTCTAGTAATTCCTTTGTAACTTTTGCGGATGGAACGAATCTCTTCGCGTGCTTCATTCCTGGGGTATTGTACCACCAGGTTTTGGACTCATTAAAGATCAATTTTTGGATTATCCTTTTAACCTAGAGAATTCTCATTTGGCTCCTTTTTTCGCTCACTTATCCTCCGCAAGGTCGTCCGCATGGCGTAGAGAATCCTTGTTCCAATATTTGTACGAGTTCGGGGTACCAGTGTTGTCCGCAGTAGGGGTGAGAGAACTGCCCCCCCCTTTGAGGATATCTGACTGTCTTAGCCCGGGTGGTTGCGTCGCCCAAGGTAGATTAAAGATTTACCTAAGCCCGCTACTTTTACCGTACAGCAAACGTCGATCCTGTCCGGCAATACGATCTCTCCAAGACCATCTTTGGTCGATGGATGGCTCACGCTGAACACCCCCATTATGTTGGTTTTTCCATAAATTGATGCAATTGTAGTTCAGTAATAAAAATAAAAAAATAAAACAGTTTTAAGATCATTTTTATATGCCCATGTTGAACACTCATTAACGATTTCGTTCCGTCTCAGCCGTTTGCCCAATTTAAACTAATGCATGCGAAACTCTCCCTTGGAATTGAATTAAACCAGTCCATTTACGTGATTATATACGAAATATAAACAATGTTATGCGTTAACTAATCTTTAATTCACTTCATAAACAATTCGTCGGAAAAGGGAGTAATTTAATATATTAATAATTTTAACAGACAATCAACATTTTTATTAATGCTGCATATAACTTGAATACTTTATCTATTGTAAAATGAGCCAGCCGATCAGGGGAAAACATCGTTCTTCAGTTATTTTTACAACAGGATCGATAATTAATTCACGATATGTTGTTCCAATTATAATGTATATTTCGGACAGTCATGCCATCGTTAAATTTAAAATATCGACATGTCATATTTATTTCACCTCATTCATTTATTCAACTGTCTATAGTTTTATTTATTTTAATACTGTGTCTATAAATAATTGAATAAGTCAATTATTTTAACCTTGCATAATGTTGAAAACGCTTTACACCTCACCCAGACTCATCCATAAGACTGCCATTACTTCCTCCGCCTAAACCACCAGAAGTAAAATCATCCGTCACCTTCCAGTAAACAAAAATCCACTGGTTTTGACTTAATAAACAGAAACATCGTGCCATCTTCCCAAAAATAATTCTTCTTAACACCATACCCCAGTCCAGTACGGAATTCGATGGAAATTGTCAATCGTAAAAACGATTCCCAAACCGCAAAAACCTTAGCATTTCACTGTGACAAATCACCCCATCTCTCCCAAGGCAAACTCCTTAAAAAAACTGAAACACTCCTAAACCTCCAGCGTCATTCCATCCCGTATGTTCAGGCTACTATTCGTCAATGCCGTAGGGTAATGGACATTGCACATCCTCTGGTGTTGTTAGACGTTAAGCCTTCGATCGAGTGTGGCTCAATAACATACATTCATTACCTAAAATCTATCTATTCGAAATCCCTTTCAAGTACGAATCATCCTTTGTCAATCAACCGAACATTTAGGTTATTATGTAGCTGGAAACATGAAAAGATGGACCTAAGAATTTGTCGTTGTAGCGTCTGGATTCTGCGCTATTAAAGATTTGGTTGAACCCCATGGTTCTTTCTAGTATTGAGGTGTGTGTAAGTATTTGTTGTCAAGCGTGATTTTACATATTGTCCAGTAGTCTTATTGACTCGTGATGGTGATTCGAAGTCGCTTGTCCAGATACAGCTGAAGGTATTGGACGTTTACGCTCCCTACTACGTCTCTAACCTCACCCAATTACCTTCAACCTTCGTTCAAGACTGGATCCGTTTCGTAGACCTTTCGTAGCCTTTCGTAAGACCCTTCTCGTGCTTTAAACGCCATTGGCTTACCTTCTCGCCCTATAAACAATCAGCAGCGAAATTGCCAAACTAGGTTGCTTTCTAAGAAATGCGTCTTCTAGGATCAGTGTTGACCGTAGTGCCAGTGATGTTAGAGTCTGTTGGTAGAACTCCATGGTTCTATGACTTCTTTACTTGGGCTTTGTTAATCGGTTAAACCTAGGTATTTAGTTTCTGTAGTGAACGTTATGGCTGCATATTTTAGAATGGTCGCTTTTAGCTTTTGTCTCTCTGGCCATCGCATAGTATGTTGCCTATATGAATTATCCACGTCAGCTGTTGTTCAAGGTTTATTCCTATGTACTTAGTTTCTTTGGAGAAGGGTATAGCTTCATGTTTTAACGTGGGTTCCGGTTTTAACTTTTTTTGTGATGGGTATGAGAGATGTTTCTTAGAATTGATATTTAAATCCATTTTCTCAAAGCTTAGGAGCGTTTTGCATATTATACACACAATTTTCTTTTATGATTGTTACCAGGTCGTCTGTGCTGGCAGAATAAACGGGTAAAATGATGGGAACGAGAATGCTCCCTTGCAAGACTCCAGCGTCGATTTCTCTTCCACACTCACAAACGACTGTCAGTTAGATTGTATATTTTCTTTGTTTTTCTTTTTTTTATACGTCATTGACTCAATTTTTTTAGTTACAATCATTTTGAATTGACCGTAGCACAATATTATCTGTAGAGGCCCTTCCTAGGGAGAGAGGAACCATTTTCACCCTGCCACCAACGGCATAAGAAGACTTGCGTTGTCATGAAGCTAAAGTGGAAAAGACACATAAGCAGCATATTACATAAGGCCAAGGCACTAAGCAATAGCACCAATGGTTTGGCCAGAAAGGCAAAAGCTAAAAGTAACCACTTATATGCAGCCATAACCTTCTACAAGGTATGACCTTTGACCAAAGTTCAAGCGGTCAAGTCCTACTTTGGATTGGCCAGAGATTCTACAGTAAAAACTGAGGAATATACCCAAGATGATGTAATATACGAAATGACATGAACCCTAGACACATATTGAGCTCTAATATGGGACCCAAAACACTGCATAACAGACGCCAAACAAACTAAAAACCTGCAAAGACTGGAATGCCTACAACACCCGCTGTAAAAGTCGAAGTCATAACCTTCTCCAAAGAAATTAACTAGGTAT